GCGGTCACATTTGTTTCTGCTGTCCCTGTTAATAAAGTCTGACCTTTGACCTGCTGAGGATAACCCTAATGTCGGTATGGTCTGGGTCCAGTGATCAGTCTGCTCTCTTTTTGTTTTTATGCAGAAGCAGACGGATGGTGTGTCCTTCAGCTGTTTGGCCCGCCCTCATCCATCACCTCCTGAGAGGAGGAGGACTGAAAAAAAAAAACATCACCACTGTGGACACCAGGAGCGTTTAAACTTTGTAAAGGACGCCTCCTCACAACTCCTCTGACACCATCTCTTCACGATGAGAAACAGCACATGTCACCCTGAATCCCGATACTGTCTGTGCTCCGAGCTGAGGCCCACTCTGTCTACTCAGCCGGCCTCCACATCCCTCTGGCTGGACAAATAGCATTTGGTCAAATGGACAGAAAAATAGACCCACAGCTCCCAATAAAAAAAAAACATTTAGACAGTGATCGGGGAATAAAGCACCTGTCCCATCCACCTCCATAACAATAAAAATAACTGTTAAGTCTCACAGAACGGCTGTAGCCATGAGGAGTGAGCTTATTCTAAGAGCAGTGCTGACTATGTGGAAACACTTTTACAGTTTTAAAAAATCATTATATTATTATAATGACATATAGGTTTCAATTTGTCCTATTTTTTTTTAGGACAGATGAAGAGAGCCAGAGAATGTTGGGAGGAGAGAGAGGGGGGTACATGCAGGATTTGAACGCAAAGCCGCTGTGATGAGGACTCCACAGTGTGTTCGATGGTGACCTCCTCTGTCCTCAGCTCTGTTGGCCTCCAGGCCTCAGCGCCAGTCACGTAACTGAGCACTATGACTTGTAATCCAGCTATATATTTTTTCGTACTTGAAAAAGTGCACCAGTGTCGGAATTGAATCTTGGTTTATTTCTTTTGGGACTCATAAAAAATACATATTTCATTAGGGATAGTTTTAAGTCCTAACAAAATGAAATGTGCCCCAGTGATAGCTAAGCTAAGCTAAGCTAAACTAAGCTAAGCTAAACTAAGCTAAGCTACAAGCAACCTGTGCAAATCAGCCCATATAATTGATTTTCACACAAGTCCCGCCTCTAACAAGGCAAAAAAGCCAATTATAGTTTAGGATTTAGGAGTGGGTCTGGAGGTGGCTTTTCAGATTTTAAACACCTGGATTTGAGCCTGGTAATGATCTCATCATCCAACACACAACCAGATAAAAAGAGAAAAAACGCAAAAGAGAAAAGCTTTAGCCATCTGTTGCAGGAATAAGTTATCTGGTTGAAATGTTTTTTTTTAATTTCAACAGGGAAATTAAAAAAAATAACCAGTGGAACATGTACATTAAAATAAACCTCTTGTTATATCCTCTGTTTGAAAAGTATATTAATATAAAAATACACTCAGCAGCACACACAGTATTTTCTGTGCAGATATTTTACTTTTGGCTCAATAAGATATTTTTGTATAACCTAAAGTATCCATGAAAACATTTGAAATTTGTTGCAGAGTAATCAGTTTGAGAGTGTGCCAGCCTGGTGCGTTCACACAGATGGTTCCCACACTGCGGGCTCTCTGCGGTGGGAACCCATGATGAAGCAGCAAAAGCTTCAGTGTCCTGACCAGAGAACAGAGATAGGCTTTGTTCCCGCTTTACTCCCATGGGACCCAGTTTGGCTGATGGCACTGGGCTTGTGTCCATACGGGGGGATCCAGGCCATCATCCAACATACAGGGATCCATTAAGAGGACACTATCTGAGCAGGCAAATCCCATTAGAGAGCTTTCCTGTGGGGATTAATAAAGTTGCTGATGTGCTTTTGCTCTGGAATTGAATGCCATGATGATGATAAGTGTAAGGATGGAGCACCTAGTCAGGTTTGATGAGCTGCAGAAAAAATACTACAACACTGAGTGCATTCAAAATTACTCCTTGTGCAGTTTTTAGAGGGCTTGTTTGCTCGTATATCAGGAAAAACATTCACCCCTTTCATCTGATATATGTTATATGTTGGACATCTACTAAATATATAGTGCTCAAATAATCAGTGGACAAAAACACAGGTCAGTGTTTCAGCTGTGGTCAGTCCCGGCTGGGGATTGTCAAACAGGAACATTACACTTTGAAATAGGAACATGAAAACAGTGCTTAAACACCATGACATGACGGCTGGGCATACACTGCCAATTCAGGCTGTTTGTGACAGTGATTTTGAGCGGCAGACTGATTCTGAGTCAGGGCTGAATTTGGATCGCGCTTCATTCATTCATTCATGCAGTGTTCAGGGATGGCATGAGGGCCTATCACACCCCGATCAGCTGCTCCCAGCCGGTGGATGAGTTTGACATTTTGGCCGCCCTACTGATAGACATATTCAGGGGCTTTTGTTTTTCTTGATTAGGCCTGCTCAAAAGTGTAGACAGCCTCTGAAAGCACCATGGCAACAGCAGGTATGCCTGTTCGGTGTGTCTCCCCCCCCCTCCCCCTCCTAACAAAGGATACTAACGAGAGAAACTTTGGCAGGAAATAGCTGCAGACCTCCAACCACCAAGGAATATTTGCTAGCTTGTGTTTGATGCCGAGTGTGTGTATGAGGGAGCAACAGTGTTTTTGACGGCGTTTGCATTCGAGTCGCTCATACTAGAAGACTGAAATATACAGAGATGTGACTTCAACTTTAATCTGTGGGAGTTTTCTGATTAAACTTTATTGAAAACGCTCCGTCCTGTTCTAACATGTATAGGGTGAGCACTCAGGTCAAGAGCTTTGGTCGGGAACAATCCATCAGTACAATGTGAGATGACATTCATACAACCATAAAGTGAATGCTAAGGCAAGAAATAGATTCTATCAAACAACAACATTGTACTTGGGTCTGTATTCTGATCCATGTAGCAGATATTGGGTGCTTGTTATAGCTCGAGCAACGGCCCTTTTGTTTTACTGGTGAAACTTTAAAAGTTTTACAGAGCTGTGTAGACTCGTTTTAACTTTTGAACGCAGTGACACTCCCATCACCTCCTCTGTGTTGGGATGGAGGCAGAAACATGTCTCAAAGCAAAGACAAATTAAACCAAAATTATCTGCATGACTTGATACCAGCAGCAGTAAATGAGAAAATCTGTTGAGCAGTTTGGGCAAAACAAACCCTTTAATAAACAAAAAAACTGTTTTCTTAGTTATTTCATTTCCATCTCATACAAAGAGGAGAGTGTTTCATGTTTTTACTTCTGCTTGAAAAGCTCCACAGCTGCAGCCTGAGAGCTGCAAACACAAACACATGCGTTATTAAGCCTGTCAATCAGCTGCCGATTCAGCACAGCACTCAGAGTCAGTCAGTGAGGCAGGAAGTCAGTCAGCTGGGCCAGACGAAGGAACAGCTGGCCGCCACTTTCAACTCACTGACGATACCTGGCTCTGCATCAACTGCTAGGAAAATACATCCCTGCCAAGTGCTGCATGTGGCAGGACGGACGGACGGGCGGACAGGCTGTACCCAGAGAGCGAGGTGAAAGGAGGGACAGGACATCACACCGCTGCTCCGAGAGGTCAGCCTCCACAAACCTCTCACTGAGTGTCCTTAAAAGCCTCGTAATCATCACTCTATCACAGAGGAGCGGCAGGGCTGAAGGTGGAAAGGTTTAATAGCACTAATAAGGCCCGGGGAGACAGGTGACATCATCCTGCAGGCCGAGCTGCCGCCCAAAAAGGAGTGGAAGAGGAGCCGGATTATTCCACTGACATTATTCACATATGAGTTTAACTGTCAAGCAGTCAGGGGAGACAGGGGCCGACTGACTGTAATAATATTCAAAGCAGTCACTGATGTCGCCATGTGTGTGTGTGTGTGTGTGTGTGTGCGCGTACATCTGAGGATGACTGACTGAAAGGGAGAGACTTATGAAGCCATTCTCTCTTTGTGTGATTTCAGCAGCACCCCCCCTCCCCCTCTCTGATTCTGCTCATCAGCAGCCGATGTCGGTGTCACCATCAGGTGGAGAGCCAGTGATCGCAGGGCTGGACGAGGGTTAAAGCAATCAATAGCTGACTTCGGGGGGGCACACGGGGTAGCCTTCATCGTGCTCATCATCAGGCCGATCACATGCAGACCTCTGGGACATGTGATGTGAAGCTCATTGACACAGACTCAGTGCAGTCAGTCTATGCACTGCATTAAGGCCTTTATATGATGCTGTATATTATCCCTTTGGAGAGATTTATTGTGGCAATAGAGGTGAAGCATGAGGTCCAAAGTACCTGGATTTTTTTCTGCCAGCCCCCTGGTAAAATTTCTGCTTGAAGTCGGGGTGAGCAGATGTGAGAATGCAGCAGGAAATATTCAGGAAAGTTAACAATTTAAGGGAGGAAGACACTTATTTCCTGAGACCGATGTAATATCATGACATGAAACTGCTGCGTTTTGTTGATGCTTTGTTGAAAAATGTCAGACTTCATGTCACTGTGATATAAAGGCAATAACGGTCATTATAGTTTCAGACTCTGTTGCTTCGTCCACTATTTCTTCATCATTTCAGGGTTGTCCGCCATTTCCACGTCATTATTTTTATCTCCTGTCCTTCCTCCTTAGAATCACTCTCCTGTTCCTGCTGTGAGTTGCAAATGTGAAAAAAAAAACTCGGAGAAGATTTCAGGGGCAGTCTGCCTGTATTTTCTAAGATTGAAGAGTTCTGAATCTCCTCTGAATCTCCTGAATGAAGGTCACATGTCTGCTGACCCAACGTTGCAATAAGAAATAAGCTGGGTATCTCAAGCATCTTACTTGGAAAGGGAGGGCAACTGGCCAAGCTGCATATTGATGAGTGGGTAGTGAAAAGTGGCTGCTCCTGTAGAGTAAACTCTTGCAAGGATCTCTTTATTCCCACCATGTCCCACATTTTGCCTTTTTTCCCCCTTGTGACAGAGCGACACGGCTCCAGTGATGACAGCTATTAGGACTCAGGGGAGAACAAACAAGTAAAGAGAGTTTGATTTAGCCACTCACAGTTTTTCCAGCGCAGCCAAGCCATAGAAGGAGCCGTTCCTCAGCAGGGAGATCTTGTTGTTACTCAGGTTTCTGTTGGAGATATGAGGGAGAGAAGACAAGCTGAGCATACAGAGCGAGTAAAAGGAGGCACACATTTGTAAATCTCACTAAAACAGAGCTGCAGGAAATTACTTATTCCAATGGCTGCTAAATTGTTTATCCTCTGCTTGTCAATATGCTGCAGCGAGATAAGGATTTATGCCTGATGAGATTGTAGCTGTAAATTTCTCATCCCGGCCACGTCTCTGTCTTGTTTATGGCCGTTTGTGGTTCAGATGGGTAATGATCCAACTCCACCCCAGCCCTCCGCTCCTGCATGTCAAATATCGGCCCTAATAGAAAAGCTTAAAGAAACGCAGCTTCAGCACAATTCAATCATCCATTGCTCACATTACAACAGTAAACAAATCAATGAGACGCACCACAGGGATCTCTAAGTGATGGATTAATATTCACAGGCAAGGCTGAGCCTCCATTTAGACTTTTTCCACTGACAGTCGACACCTTTTTCTTGCTTCTGTTTTTGATGAATTATCAAGGTGAGACACTTTATGTTATGAATGATGCATTTGTCTGGCAGTGGGAGAAAAACAGTGCTAGGACAGAAAAACCTGGAAAGGCACAAACACACAATATTTCGTCACATTATTCAGCACACTACATGGACCTTGGGACCTGAGCTCTCCTCTGAACCTGAACACAACAGAGTGAAAAAGACAGACCTGGATACTATAAACCTGAATATACACAATTCTGTTTCTATACCTTTGAGGGCTTTTGATATTATACAATCCAAAGACCTTTTATTAAAGGTCTAATTAGTAAGGTATCTGCTGACTGAAGTGATAAAGTGACCTTACTATATGATCAGACATTAAGGAAACATGCTATGTTGAAGTTCTGGCTTCTCTGACAACAATGCAGCAGCCAGTATGTCCTCCTTCTAACTTTAGATTCTGCTCCTGAATGCTCTGGATTTGTTTGGACCAGAGAAGGTAGGCGCTTTTAAGACACCACCACACGGCCGTTTTGGACGCCCCTCAGTTTGCCAGATATGAGAGCAGTTATCAGGTCAAACCAACAGGTGTTGCAGCGATGGAAGCGGGCAAGAGAAGTGGTTCAGATAGAAGTGATTGTACCCGACCTAAAAAGCCTCTGCATGTTTCTAATAAGCTCCACGAGCAGAAACGTGCTCAAACTAGGATCAATATTGCAAAACATGTGCAAATACACATCCATAGTCAGGTTTACGAAACAGAGTTAATAAGTTGTTTAAGTGTTTACAGTAATTGATTCAAACAGGTGATATCATTCTTACCTCATTAGTTTTCCACTAACGTGTTGATTTTCCAGTCAACCACACAAACCATGTACACAGTTACTTTGATATGTTATTAGTTAACTCTTACATTTAGTTCCTACAGTTCATTCAATGAATAATAAACCCTCATGTCTGTTGTCATTATTTCTTTTTCTTGAGTTACATTAATGTTTGGGGAGAGAACTTCCTGATCCGAGCAAAAGGTGTGGCCAAGACATAGCTCTTATGCTGGAGGCAGCTGGTTGGAGCAGACCATGCCCTCTGATGTCACGGGGGGATTTGGGTTTCATCAGTTTTTCCTTGTATTTAGTTAAGTGGTTTTCCTTGCTGGGTAACATAAAAACCCAACTTTTCTTTAAATGTACTCCTGTGTCTCATGTCTTACTGCTTGGTCCCTCACGCTATAATTTCAATGTAACTTTTCAGCGGCTATATGCCAGAGTGTAGACTTTATAATTAATGCTTAAACATTGTACAAAAATGTGTCCATTTCTTGGAACAACAATGATTCATAGGTGTGGTGCTGTGTAAGCTTGTATGTAAAGACAATGGAAGGCCCCGTGTCCACTTGGCGTTTGTTACAGGCAGAAAGTGCTGGCTGTGCGCTCGGGAGTGTTTGCATGAAGCGTTTGTGCGCTGAGAGGAAAAGCGCTGCACATCCATCCTGTCTCTATGACAACAGATTGTTGACAATGATCGCTGTACGACCGACACTGCTTTGTTACTTTTTATTGTATGTTTTAAATTTGAGATCATTTTCACTCCAGCAGACAAGGAGCGAGGAGGAGGTACAAGACTTAGTCTTTAGGCGCCTTTCTGAAAAGTTGAAAGAAGAAGGAAGAAGCACAAAAAATGTAGAGCGCCTGGAAAAAAAAAAGACGCTGTGCGGAGTGTGCGCTGCACGTTTTCTCCTGGTGGCTCTCTACTCGGAAATGTTTTTTAAAAAGACGCTCAGATAGAAATGCTAGGTGGACACAGGGCATATGAGAAAAAAGCCATTCTGACTACACATTCTGTAAAACAACATGAGCTATTGAAATAAATATTGTTATGGTTCACAATAAATACGACTTGATGTGTGAAAAGTTATACGTTTTTAAAATGTCACAACAGCTTGAATGAAAGGGTTCCAGTGATTTGTTAAAAAAAACTAATCCAAAAACAAACATAGAAACAAACCAAGAGAAGATGTAACTACTCAAACACACTACAGGACACAGTCCAGTCTGGTGCTGTGTTTAAATCCCACAGTGACTTGTTAGACTGCATATGGCCAGTGTTACCTTCTGCTCGAGTGTAAGAGACATGAGATCAAGTCAACTCATCCACCCGGAAAATAACTTTCACTGTTTGTCCTGTAAAAAAAAGCTGCTCACACACTCAACCTAAGCACCAGAGAGTAAGTTAGTGACGGAGACACGGTGATGAACCAGGACTGTGCAGGTACTAAAGTGTGCCACAGGAGGCTTAAGACGGGGTTTGTGTGGTTTCAGGAGAAGGAAGCTAACAAGTGTGTAAATCTGTTCAAACAACAACAAATATATTACATGAAGCAAATTAAAAGCAGCAACTGACAGGCTGCAAAAAATATATACAGGATGGAAAAGGATCAGACTTTTTACAATGGATCTGTACCTCTGAATGGTCCTCGTTTTGATGACAGGAGATGTTGGTCAGTCAGGCAAACATTTGGAGAAAGCTGACAGAGTACCACTTTGATTAATAAACTATAACACCTGGGGTGGTAGAAAAACTTACTGGAGCCACCAGACAAACTTCAAGGCTGTCTCAAAAATAATGTTTTAATTGCTTTACCTTGGCGGAGATATTCTGAGGCAAATAATTTGTATGTCAATTAAAGAAAAAAAAAAGTGAAACTCTTTGAGTGTGGGCTCGTGCACACAAGGGGTAGAGAGCGAGCAGGGAGACAGGGAGGCTGTGATTGGTTAATCAGATTGGTTCCTCGAGGCAGACATTGGTCAAAGTTGAATTGACGGATTTTCTTCGTTCCTTTTTCAGAGAACATGAGTTATTAATTTCTGTCAGGACCTAAAGACAATTTCCACCAAAATCTTAAAAAGTGGATCAGGAGGACATTACCAACCCTGCCTTTAAATGCAAATTTAAATCCAGACTCACCGAAAAGTAAGAAAACATTCAGAAAACAATCAAAATAGGCAAAAAAATGTATTTAAAATGGTCTGCAGGTTAACTATGTAATTTGGTTCGCAGAGCGTGGCTAGCGTTAGCAGTGCTATCGCCGCCAGCCTTCCAACCTCCACATGCCCGTGCTAAACAAGGATACACATTGCTCTGATTAATCTGCCAGGTTAAGAGGTGAGAATTTGGCAGTTTATAAGCACAATAAAAAATCGTTCAGCTGCGACTTCCTGTCCAGATGTGGTCACTTTGGGCCCCAAATATCAAAGATGGTGGCAGCCGGATGAAAGGTTTGTGGCTTTACAGCGCTCTTACACAAACCAATTTGTGATGACGCTTTTAATTACGGTTCGTCTAAAGCAGACGTTTTCTTTGGCACCACATTTCAGCAAATCTGTGCATTCTGTGGACTCGATAATGCTGCAAGGCAGAGGTTTGAATCAGGAGTTTTTACAGATAACAATGACAAGACAAAAGAAAAGATAACGACAGCTGGTAAGAAATGCTGATCACACTGGAGACAACAGGATGCCATGTTACAGATAAAGAACAGTGGAAAACCAGTGGATGCCTGCTGATATCCACTTCAACTAAAGTCCAAAGAAAACATTTGTTTTAGTTTTTTTTGTTCAAATTCACTTCGGTTAAATTCCTCTCAAACCTTGCTTTCCGTCTCCTCACAGAAACACACACACACACACACACGATGTCTCACAGAGCTGTAAGCTGTGGTTCAACAGGACACGATGCTCATGATTTATATTCCGTTTATTCTACAGCCCACTCTCACATCATTTTAAATACACCTTGGATGGCATTTCTGGATTTCATATCTGCTGAAATATTGATCGCTCCGGCCTCCTCTTAAATCATCGGCTGCAGGCAGGGCTGCTCTGTGTCTTTGACGCTGTCGCTTTGTGCATGTCCATGTCATCTCCAGGCAGGAGCCCTTCTTTGCATGTGTGATGTTGTGTATCTCCTGTCAGCACTGAAAACACACACTCTCTCTCTCTCACACACACTAGCACAAGGTCAGATCCCTCCGTCTCTCCTCCACCACCTTCCTTGAACAAGGTTTCAGGGAGTGATTGGCCTGCTTTAGGTGCAGGAGGTAATTGGGATGTGTCACCGCTCTCCTCTGTGACGACAGAGAGCTCGTTATGGCTGCAGGAAACGTATTCTCTATCCTAGCAGTAGGATTAAGCAGTGCGCTCCCACAATGCATTGTGCTGAACGGGCAGATTGCTGGCCAAACTATTGGGGGAGGAGAGCCGAGTGTGGGCACTGAAAATGTCACAGTGAAGACTCTCACACTGCACAAACACACACATGCGATCTAGCTGCAAAACATGCGGTTCATGTGGTCATACATTTGATTGAAAGTCGTTTTTTTTTTTCTAGATGAAAAAGACCAGAAAAAATACTCCAAACTGCATTAGTGCCAGTATACTGTGCTAGTAAATTTAACAAGCTTGCTTCTGCATGATCTTTGGGGAAAGTACCTATCTGTCCCCAGAGTGATAACCGTTGTCTTGGCAGGAAAAGCAGG